TACACTGAGCAGACCTATCTGCTAGCCAGCTCCAGACCAAAATCGTCCAACGGGCAGGCAGTTCAGATTAGCTATAATATTTATACAGGTAGATCAGTATTGTGTTGAAGAAAACGTGCCAATGATCTTCATGAATACCTTTGGATAATGAGGTAAAGTTGAAGATAATGCTGACTCTGGAATCTACAATAGACTCAAGAAGCAGATCAAATGTTCTCCATATTCAGTTCCCAGAAGTACCTTAGCCGTTTCTAGCTCTTCATTTTCTGAAGTAATTATTATGCACAATACTCACAGTGGAGATTTATAGCTCTGACTGACTGGCTGGGTGCGCTCTTGTCCACGAGAATCACACAGAAGAGTACAGAATCTCCAGTTGCCAGGGAGCGGTCCAGATGAAAGCAGATGCAGATACGACTGATGAATGTGTCTAGGGTCTAGACCGAAAGCTAATAGAAACGAGTACTCAGGCTTTGACTAATTCAAATGATTCTCTTCCCATCCTCAAACGCAGGTAAAGCGGTATTTCATCTCATTCTGGAACGGTGTCGATCTTCGTTACCGACTGCTGAAGGGACCCAGAATACGCATCAGCATCGCTGGTATCATTATCTCTCGGGTAAGTATATCCGAGCAAGGCATTCCCTACCGCAGCCACAGCCACAGCCACAAACCTCCAGCCAGATCATTGCACAATCCCAGGCATTCCATTTTAACTTGGCTAATTTAGTGTCTGAATTGGTAGGTCTTCTGAATTGGACCACCTCTTCACCCCGTCTTAGCCAGCTGAGTCCTGACTCCACCCCAATGAACGGCAGTGATCCTGGCTGAAAAATGGATCGCATGCGTTTCGATTCTTTGGAAAAAATGTGAACAATCAATTTGGCCATTTGTTTGGCCATAGCTCACAAAAAGCTCGACCAACAAATTTAAGAAGTTTTTTCCTTGCTTTGTTTTACGGCTGGCACACTCGTGCCAGCTTCAAAGCCTAGCAAACCATTTTTCTCAAAATTAGCCACAGCATGTTTTATGGCCATGTGAATCGACCTCCCAAAAATTTTCATTCAATTCTCTAAGCCCCCGTTTGAGAGACTTTATATTTAAGTTTATATTTGACAATCCTAGATGTATCTCCCGAATAGACCTGCTGTTTGGACAGAGCTTGGTATTCACATCGTATGTCAGTAGACCGAGACATTCATGGAGAACTTGATTTCTTTCAAGGTCCTATTATACGAAGTACTTACGTTTAATCAGGCGGTTTCTGTTTACATTCTCTAAGCGGAAAAGCTTACCAAAGAAGGCCAATAAGAGATCTCTCTGAACATCTTTTATTTATTAACGGTCCACTAATTTGATTGCATAACGCAAAACCATAAAATACGTTGACAACATTATAGCATCGTGGCTCTGCTATAGGTAGCATTTCATTTCTTTTCGTTGTGTCTCAATCTGCGTCGTAGACTGCAGTCTGGTTAGACTTTCTCACACAAATCAGTTTGGCAGTGGTTCAGGAAACCATTTGTCGTGGCCACAGAGGGAGAGAGTGTGGACAGCTCGAAAGTGCGGTACACGAAAGAGTAAAATTGGCACAGGCACAAGCACAGGCATAGGCACTGAGGCACCTGCAACACATAGACGCCACAAGATTCATCAAGCGGCTGGGCTGCCCACACGACACAACGAGCAAGGCATCGAAGAGACAACGTTGTCGACGCGTTACCCTGAGTACGTCAATTGGCTTCTGCTCCGTGCCTGGCTCTAGCTGCGGATCTGAATCTGACTCTGCTGCCTCGAAAAATATTTTTCAGACCGCATAAATAATGCAACAGCCACCAGGGCCCCAGTGCCACCAATGGCAGTACTGCGTGTTGGCCGCGGTTGCATAATCTAATGGGCCACGCTAACTGCAGTAGCAGTAGACTGAGATCAGATTTTTTCGTACACATATATCTTTTTGCCCAATTTCACACACACATGACTTCCTCTTCTCCATGCACAAGAAGTGTATTCGTGTCTTAGCATTCGTCGCTAAGCACTTTTTGCTTGGCTAATTAATGTTGGAGTAGATTTAAGCGCTGGCATGACCGAGCTGCAAAAACAAACTATAGAATATCCATATCCGATAAGTAGGGAATATTGAGTGGCCCACAGCGACCAGTATTCGAAATTAATCTACCGCATTTCTGTAACACTTCATTGCCAGAGATTTTGGGGGAGATCTCTGTGCATCTTACACTTTCGTTGTCTATAAAAACATTGTTGAAAAGTTAAACAACTTGACCTCAATGCCAGAGACAAGCGCCGGAGCCTTTTCCTTTTTAAAAGCCTTTTTTAAAGCACTAAACAAAAAAAACGTAGCCCAAAATCACATATATTAATCACTCGTAGACAAATAACTAAGAGAATTACTTAGGCAACAACTGCGGAGTGCCATTTTTAAGAGACTTGTTCGATTAATTGGTTCTTGCTTAAAAAGCAAAACACAAAAAAAACGTAAAAAAAAGGAACATAGCCGCAACAAAATGACTACAAAACATTGCCACATTATAAGCCACAAGCTGCGTAACGCAACTGCACTCTATCGAGTTTCGGACAGGCTCAAAAGCGTTAAGAACAGCCCAGAGCAGCTGCACTTGAACCTGGTAAATGGGACTACGTTCTTTTTATAATTTAGTCTCTGTGCTAACCATGAATGAGGGGCAGAACAATGAGCTCAGATCGAGTAGCAGCGCAGTAACGTGGTCTGCGTGTGTGAGACTCGTTTGCCAGGTGAATTTTAAAACGTATTGTTAGTAGGGCTCAGTGGGGTAGAGGCCTGGAAGTATTGAGTGCCTCAAACTGTTTGCAACATTAAATGCCATCACTGGGTACCCGAAAGTTGGGCCACTTCCCGCTCCGAATAAGTTGCGTATAGGCAACTTCGGCAGAAAATGAAATTGAAATATGATTGTGGTGCAAGCTCAGCGCCACTGCGTTCTACACTTGTACCGGCCGTAGGGCGGACCAGCAGAAGAAGGGGCGAGGCTGTTTAACTTCTAACGGAAAGTTGAGCGCAATTAATTGAAATGTTAATTAAATGTCACAAATAAAAGTTCAGGCCAAGTCGGTAGCTAAACGACTTGCCAGCTAACCCCACGCCTATTCCACTCTGTTCGGTTTGCATCTCAGCTGAACTGAACTGATCTGATATGTATATATTGTAGGCTTTATAAATCTATATCTGTGACTTGTTATGATCACCTGCAGTTGAGCTATCCGCCCAAGGAATTCCACTCGGGTGATTAATGAGCAGAGAAAATAAGTCAATATTCGCCTTCTTTCCCCTTTCGACCTCCAACCATGCCTCTCCTAAATATGTGGGTTCGGCTATCCCTATCCCCTTTCGTGACGCCAATAGACATTCTCCATTCTCTCTTATCGTAGTGGCTTTATCTAAAGTGCCACAGAAATGCCAAATAATGCTTGAGTGACACACCCAGCAGACCCAAAATAAAATAAAAAAAATTATATATGGAAATAGTATATATGTTTTATATGTCAGTTCTCATATTTGCCAGTTGTCATAATAAATTCTGCAGTTAACGAAGCTGGTGCCACTGCGAGCACCCAGGCAGGACCAGGCCCAAGTCCAAGCCCAAGTCCAGGCCCAGGCCCAGACTAGACCAGGACAGCCCTGGCCAGGTGTTGGCTTCAGGGAAAAACTGACCATTCTTGAATGGTTCAATGTATACAACACATATATAGAGTGACAAACAAAAGTATAAATTGCAATAATGCAAATGGAAACGTGAAGCAAAGAATGAACACAAAGAGCCCAAATATAACACAAGCTAAAAAGTCCACCTGGGCCAACCTACTCTAGCCACAAAGCACTATCAATGATTTATGGGAATATTATATGAGAGCTTCTCCAAAAGTACTTAGGAATCGTGTATAATCGATTCAGAGTCGTATAGAAAAATCGTTGTTTTAGAATGAAAACATTCCCCGGCGGTCTACCTGCTGGCGTCTATCCTAGTTTTTTCAGCTACAGGGTATTGGAAATGGTTGACCCAAAAGCCTGTGGGACTCTGTGGGTGGTGCCGCAATCGGCCAATGTATCCGACGTGTGGCCGCAGAAATTCGAAACGTGTGTCACTAGATGGAGGGAAGCGAAGAGGTTTGGATTAATGGGTGTGTGGGTGTGTGTGTTGTGAGTGCTTTTAGTGGAAAACCGTCTACCACCCAGTCAGATGGCTTACCAAGCTTTGCGAAATGATAGAAATTACAGACCATTCCTTTGACTGTTTTTCTCATAAGATTTATAGCCCAGGTCAGGGAAAGGCACCCAAGACCGTCTGGAAAATTTAACTAAAATATACATTTTGCTTTTAATTACGCACAAAAGGCTATTACAAAACTGTCGCACAGACTTTTTTTTTTATTTATAATTTTGGGTTTTTCCTGTTTATTTGTTTTGGGGAAAGGCAAACCGGTCCCGGTTGGGTATCTGCTATGGGTTGGTTACATTTTTGGTCCTACTGATAGCTTTACTGCTACTAGTTTTTCCTTTTGCTTTCAAAACAGATTCTTTGACCAATGTTTTTTCATTTTTTCAACCCCTGAAGAGTGTATTTTAAAATGTTTCTGCAGCTTGTAAGCCCAGAAGGTAGCATGTCCTGATCAGTTTTGAAGCTGTTTTAAGTAAATGTTGCAGAAATTCTTCCGCCATGTATGGCCTAGTCATTTGTCTGAATCTTTATTTATTATTTGTGCACACTTTTTTTTATATAACCTATTTAAATTAGGCCCACAAAAGCATTAAAAATAGCAATAGACTGCTCTAAGTCTATACTATTCAAATCCTGCAACATTTTTAAATGTTAAGTTTTTTGCATAATCATTATTGATATTAATTATTTAATCAAAGATAAATGAAAGTTAAATAATGATTCATAATGATTATTCTAAAAACGTAAACAAAATTATTATTGTACGGTTTTTAAAATATAGCTTATTATGATTACGGTCCCTGGGTACAATAATGCACATCTTGAGCTTTAGGGGCGATAGGACATTCTTCTGCAATTTTTAAAATTCCTTCACTTCAAGGGTATGTAAAAGTGATGTAAAAGTTGAAGGGGTGATTAAGTTAGCTTCCTCACTGGTTACCACTTGAATTGCGCAATCCGTAATCAACGATGTGCCAGGTCATCCATGGTCCAGCGGCTTTCCCGCTGCCTTTCTGAATAAGAGAGACTCTTTGTACGAGCATAATGCGTACGGTCCGTCTGGTGGAAGTGGGCTGTGTCTTTTCCAGGCCCACTTCGGTGATGTTGATGGCTGCGTGTGGCAAAGTCTGGGAAAAAGTCGCGTTCAGATCCCCTCGCCGAGACTGGGCACCAAAAATATTTGAAAATCATTAGTTTTATTTTATTTTATTTTATTTATGTTGGAGGGTGAAGAAAAATCCTTTTAATTCAATTTACGTACTTCTTTCTTCATGCGTTGATGAATAACTTTAGTATCGCCCTCCAACTGTAGTGCCAGAAATATGATGCCCAGAAGGGTGCTCCCGCAATCAGTCATCTTCATGTTTGGCAACAAACTGCTCTAATAAACTATTCAGAGTGTAGTTTTTTGGTAATTATTTGTAATTTGGCTAGTTCGAACCGAATTGTGGTCAGACCCCAAGCGTTTCTTTGCCTTTCCTACTTGGTCCAAGGCCAGAGACGGAACATTCAAAATTCTTGACCGTTTCGTCTGAAGAATTGACAAATATTCATTTTGGATTTGTTTTCATTAATGGGGAGAACGACGTGCCCGCACTCACAATTGATCAATCTGTCATCCTGTCCAAAACATGAGCGGATAGATAAATAGATACACAGCAATCCCCTTAAACTATGTACGTACATATCTAAGAAAGAATACTACTTCGCAGACTCGAAGCCAGTCGAATCCGTTTGATGTTTGAATATTTTGTCGTACTTAACGCTTGTCTGTTTATGGTTCACTAAGTCGGACTCTGTATATTTCCTAGACATCTGCTGCCTGCTCAACTAGTTGGCAAAGTCCACCGGTTTAGAGACACAGATACCCGTACTGATTGCTGTGCAGTTGGAGAATGGCTGCAAATTAAATGTGTCAGCCGAGGTCTGTTTGTCACCTAACTTTGGTTTTATCACCTGCACGCCGAGTACCTCCATATCCATCCGGAGTGACTGCAACTGGTTCTCGCACTTACACGATTAGCCGTGGAGCCATTCTATTAACATTTGCCTAGGACTCAAAATGATTGACAATTGTGTTGCTATAATTTATGTAGCTGTCACCTCAGTAAATCCCATAACGCCCCTTTAGTCACGATATATCAAATTTGTACTTATGTATGTACATACGTACATACATATGTACATACATATGTGCATGAGCACTGTATACGAGAAAACAACTGAAAGTTGCCCTGGGATGTAACTGATGAAATTATGCCTGCACATCGGGCAATCGAACTGCAACTGCAGCAACCTGGCAACTTCAGTCGTCACAATTATGCAACGCACAATTGCAACTGGTTTGCTGTAGCTGCGGTTGTGGCCTGGCACCAAAAACAACCAGATGGGAGACGTCTCAAATAAAACCCACACGACTTTGACTTTGCCAATAGCTACATATATTCAGACATCATCATATTCAATGATGGCGTTGGTCGTCTTCTGCAATGGCCTCATCGCTACCCCAGCGACAGTGGCTGCCAACAATATTTACACAGACGAATAGGCCATGAATAAGTTACTAGAAGCCCCTTCCATTTGTGTGGCTTTCTCATCCAAATTTCAAGTCAGTCGGATAAACGAAAATGGAGGTTCCTTGGATTCTTGGGGTGCATGTGCAGTTTTCATCGGCTGACAAACTTCTATCCAGTCTGCGTCGCTTAGGTCAAACCCATTATAGGCTGAGGCAAAGTGAGGAGGAACTGTCAGCTACTGGAAGTGACTTTGAAAGGTTTCGCCGTAGACGAATCTAATAAAACTGTTTATGACCTTTATCTTCTGCATGTTGCAGGGTCGCGATGCCACCCCCTATCTGGAACGTAATCGAGTTGGACGGGATGCCATAGACTCGGCTGCCGCCCTCACCGACATGGGCAAATATCTGTTTCGAGAGCGCCGTCTGCCTGTCTACGATATCGCAGTGGCAATAACCAAGTAAGTGGTTCGGTGACCTTCATCGCTGTCGCCCTGTGTTTTGGTTTTAATTGCAGGATCAACGGCAAACTTGATTTCTCTGAGCAGCTATCCACGCTTTCCCCTTTCACTCCATATCCAATAACTATATTAGAGACATGTTCCTTAAAGATACACTGCTATAATGTCTTCCTGTGTCTAGGTATGATATGTGTCGCAGGCGTAAAGGAGGTCGTTGCACCAAGGGCACTGCGGGTAAAGAGATACCAAGAAACTACTAGACCTAGGCTTACAAACACTGGTTCACATAGATACACTGCCTTAGAACATATTTGAGTTCGTTTTTACCTTACACCTCAACCCCCCTCCCACCACAAATACAAGACACATTAAATAAAAATCATAAATTTGCGTGTGGGTCTTAATATATTACTACCGCTACACAACTCGCAGGCAATCACATCAATACCTACACATAAACGCACACACACACAAAATGGACAGCATCCAAGCAAGCTATACACAAATGAGTTGATTCCAAAACGTTATACTAATTTTAGTGGCAAATCGGGCGTAAACCGTAACACCTGTTACTTCTTCAGTTCGAGCATTTTATATCTGCCTCACGGTTGTATTGGTTGGCGCTTTGAACACAATTACATCAATATTAGTACTTAAATGTAGTTTTTACGCCTCATACGGAAAGGTTACCCATGGTAAAATAACCTACAATAATGTGTGCAAGGAAGGGTTAATCCCAAAGTTAACGTGAAGCAGTGATTTAAAATGGTTTCTTAGCATCTCGTCGGATTCTATACAATTTTGATAAGTAGCTCGTACATCAGTGAACCCACTTGAGACTCTTCCCAATCCTTTCTTCAATTCGGTGCACCGAAGAAAGATTTCTCTCTATACTCTTTTTCTGCTTTTGAAACTACAAATGGTCAGTGCAGCTTGGCACGCACACCAATAGAAACCACAACAATCGATCATAGCTCAAGAGGAGATAATGAAATAAATGGTTCAGAAAACCCCAAATCGAAACTGATTCTGAAGCCAAATCTAAAATTTCAACGAATTTTTGAACAATTTTCGCCCGCAGACTCGATATGTGCCGTCGCACCTCCGCTTACGGCGAATGTAATCGCGGCACCGCAGGTAAAGACCCAACAACTATCCTTCCATTTGTTAGCCAACCTCTATCTACCTACATATCTGTACAGACAAATACAAAAAATAAACACAAAAAGCTGAGCAAACGCGCTTTAAATAAGTAACATTAAAGGCGGCCACCGCCAAACCCAAAATGCTCCATCAACAACAATATCAAGCAAAATTTAATGAATTTCATGCACGTCTCTTTGTCTCTATTTTTATCCTCCTCCTCTATCCAACTCTGCCTCTGATCTGTTCCATTCCACCTCTCTCTTTCCGACAAAGCCAACTATGCGAGTACTGTGTTTATACTTCTGTTCCTGTATGTGTCGCACGAGCTTCTGTACCAAAAAGCAAGAACAACTTGGCATAAACAATATCGCATGCGAGCGATATCTTTGTGCAATTGTCATTAAAAAATACTCTGTCTCTATTCCTTGTAAATTAAATACATCTTTCTCGCTCATTGGAAGAGCATTAAACTGTAGATTTTATAACTGTTTTCATAAACAAATATGTATGCTAAATACGTATGGTGAGCGATCCTGATCTTTTGGCAACACTGGTCACACTCTTGTTGTGTCCCATCTTTTATGTTTGAAATATATGTACATACATTTCAATTTACCGAACTCTTCTCTTTTTTTTGTGTCAGCTGCATGTCAATTTGAATATTTTCGAGAATACATGTAACCATTTTTTTGCATTTCAGCGGGAAAACATTTTAAATATTATGAAATATGAACGAAGTATATTATTTACTTACATAAAATAAAGTACAAAAAACGTAGAATGTTTTAAAAACATGTAAGAAAGCAAGAAATGTAATAGTAGTACCTGAAACGCTTTTAAAGAACGAACTGCTGCAAGAACTAATTAAAGTTTGATTGATTCGATTGCTAAATGTAATCTAAATATGTATTCTCTAAAAAATGCTTTTCGGGCGACTAATATTGGGCTTCTGGTAAAAACACTTATGTATGAATCTATGTACGATTACTAATTTCTTACCTTTTTGGTTATGGTTTTTAGGTTATGGTCATATTAACACACATCAAATCACAGCTGGAGACCTCCTCTCAGCGATTGCAGATATTATGTGAAGAAATTAAGACTACCTTTGAAACGAACAAAAAAATCCCGAAATGCTTCAACGAACTCCTATTTCCATTTAATAACTGCAACAGCTCAGCGACGGAAGGTCTTAAAAAATTAACTTCCGGTGAAAAATAAATAATAATAAAAAAAACACAAAAAACCCGCAAATAATTGGCAAATTTTCTTCGTGTATTTTCTTTCGGAAAAGGCTTCGCTTATGTTGGTGGTGCCTGCGTAGTGAACAAGCGACTCGAGAAGGTGAACAGCGTGGCCATCATTGAAGACACCGGCGGTTTCAGCGGCATCATTGTGGCTGCTCATGAAGTGGGACACTTGTAAGTGGTGACAAAAGATAAATAATCAAGCAATTGTGCGTTTGTCGGCTTTCATTGTCGGTCCGGCAAGCGGAACGTATTCTTTGAAAGTTTCAATACATACATATACATATAAATATGTACTTAGTCCGGCAAGTCCACGTCCCTGATCAAAGACGTGTATTGGGAGTTCATTTGCCACACATTAACAGAAGAAAACATAAAAAAATCGAATAATTTCCGCTGCTCAAAACTGGTCATTAAAACACGTTTGCATTTCCGTTTGACATCATTCGTGGTGCAATTAATCAATTTACATTTTTCCCACCTGACCACGCTCCTCAATCAAAATGTATCTCTTTCCCTTTCACGCAGACTGGGAGCGGTCCATGACGGATCGCCACCACCAAGCTATCTAGGCGGACCGGGCGCCCAGCGCTGTCGCTGGGAAGACGGTTATATTATGTCCGATTTACGTCACACGGAGCGCGGATTCAGATGGTCCGCCTGTACGGTCCAGAGCTTTCATCATTTTCTCAAGTGAGCTGAGCCTATGAACGGCTATGACAAGAATTTTGTAATTGACTTTACTCCGTTTCCGTTCTCAGTGGAGACACAGCCACCTGCCTGCACAACGCCCCACACGAGGACAGCGCTCTAGGAAGATCACTGCCAGGCACTTTGCTCTCGTTAGATGCCCAATGCCGAAGGGATCGCGGCACGTATGCCTGCTTCAAGGACGAGCGCGTCTGTGCCCAGTTATTCTGCTTCGATGCCCAGACGGGATACTGCGTGGCCTACAGACCCGCTGCGGAGGGTTCGGCCTGTGGTAACGGCTATGTAAGTCCCACATCCTTGCAATTAATAACCTCAATATGCCTTAGACACGACTCACACACATATATTAATCAACCCATAGCACTGTCTGGATGGTCGTTGCACTCCTCTGCCCTCCAACATCATCCCCGACTACGGGAACAACTATCGTTTAGTTTATAAGTGAGTATATTTCATTTTCTTTTATTTGATTGATAAGACTGTTCGTTAGTAGTTATGTTGTGCAAGCTAAGAATTGTACTTACTAAACACATGTAAATTTAGAAAACAAAGAAAACACGAATACACACAGAAAAACAAATTTTAATGTACAAACCTTTACACCTCTAAACTAAATTAAAACACCAACAACACCAAACACAAATACAACAATAGTAAAATCGACAGGAAAAAAGATGCAGCCTCTGAGGCAATGGAGGACATTGAAATAAGTAGCGAAGAGACGGAGTCGCAAGAAGATGAGAATGATAACGAGAACGATAATGAAAACGGTAGCGACGATGAGGAGGAGCAAGAGCAGGATGAGGGCAACACTAGTAGCGAGGAGCAGCAGGATAATAAAGTCGAGCAAAGCTCTGATGCCGCTTCGGCCTCAGCTGCCTCTGCTGGTACAACGACAACGACCACAGAGCTACCCACAAAGGCAAAAGCGTTTGGGTACTTGCATCGCGTTTTGCCGTTGTATAACACTGAGAGGCAATGGCTTCAAAACGATGGTGTTTTGGTAAAGACGCGCACCAGCAGTAGTGTCAGCAGTATTAGCGGTTCCTCTGCTCCCTCTACGACACGAATACCAAAAACAACAACCACACAAACACCAAATCTCTTTCA